AGATTATATCTGCGGATAAAGCCCCACTACAAAGTCATAGCATGGGGTCTTTGGAGAGGTCTGTATTGAGTGTGCGTTGAGTAATAGGCAGCATTGAGAACGGGTCTCTGTGAAATGTTACGCTTTGGATGCCTCCTTCAGCATATTGTACCATTGCCTCATCACGTCCCTTTTTGGTGGCATCAAATATAAAGCAAATTAAGAGCCACAAACTGTTTCACACCTGAAATGACCCCAAAAGTTGCACTTAGTGCTGTGGCATGGCCTTTGTGACGCTGCCTTCCGATGCCCTGTTGCTGCTGATTGACCAGGGTCAGCAGCTCTCTCTCTGTGCACTGTGGACGAAAGAGCGATCTGCTCCGACTCGGGGGGGAAAAAAAAACCCTAATTAGAGCGAGCTAAGCAAGACAACGGAATGAAATCCAGAGCAAAATGTAACAAGTACATGCACTTAAGATTAATTTGCATCGTCCAACAATGGCATGAGCAAGGAGTTTCTAACTGCTCCGTTTTCCCCATTGTATTATTTTGCCTACATTTTGCTGCGAGAATGTTGGAGGTTTTTTTTTTACTCCGGTTTAGTGAAGGGGGGACCTTTACGATGAGTTGAGCTGCTTTTGCCAGTAGGTGGCTGTGCATGAATGTGTCATGAGCACGATCCCCAGCAGGAGAGCGATGCCCTGCGCAAACAGCCCAGCCCCACAGAGATGCCTCGTCCCGGGGCCTCATTTCGCAACGCCTGTCCTCTAAATGGAGGGGTCCAGTATTTATGACGGTATCTCTCTCTGATGTATCTGTTGCCTGATTATATAATCATGTGATTCATAGCATTTGCATGTAGATGGATAGATGTGGCGTAAATAAATAACCTGCTGCGCGGTGCATGTTTCATACCCACAAGCACTGATTTCCATGGCCAACACATTGCGTTCCCTCCACGCACATAAACCTGTCCGTTATTCGTGACATAGTGTGGATTACCTCTGAAGGTTTTTTTTTTTCTCAAGCACATACGCGATTAAGGCATGCATAAAGTACTTGACCGTATTGTAATTATCGACAAAGTCCACGCAAAAGGACGCACACAGGTGTAAAGTTGTCGTGATATTCGCAGCACAAACAAAGTAGGTTGAAATTGACAGACCTTTTGGCCATGGTGACCACGCTTAATACAAAAAGGTGCACGACTGAACAGTACAGCAGGGGACACAGGATACACGGAGAGCACCTGGCATGGCAAGATATCCTTGGGGCTATCGGGCTTGCCAACTCGGCGACGGTTTGTTGGGGTCGGTTGGGTTTAATCCCACACTCCTCTGCTAATGCCGTGCGGCATGATAAAGGATAACGCCTGATGTGAAGCAGTTAATGAGGCTCCTGTGACATCATTCTCAAGAGCGGGCAATCGTGTGCCTGTGTCGTGCAAATGTGAGAATCGCCTGCGTTTGGCCGCGGCAATATTGAGAATTATTCTCCAGCCTGTCGGGCGGGGCTTCACACTGGGACAAACTTGGCAGCAGACAATAGGAACATCTTTTCTGTTGTCACCATAAGCAGTTAATGAGGGGCTGTGCGGTCGCGTGGCTATCGGGAGTGGGGCCCACGGGCAGGAGAGGCCCAGGGGCCAGGCTTTTAAGAGAGGGAGTGGGGGGGGGGGTGATTGGACAGGGGGCCCCAGTTAATCCGTTGCACCAGGGCCCATGCCAACCATGCGACGCCACTCGGGCTATGTCTGGCAATTGCATCCAGTGTAGGAGTTCCCCCAAAACTCGACCATGCCAAGCGCACAGTGGCCTACTTTCATACGCAGTGCTCTATAGAATCCTCAAAGATTAATGGACTGTGCACTTGTGTGCATGGTACGTATGCTACATACACTCGCGTATCACTGCACCAGCCTGAGTATGCTCTGAGATCCTAACGAGCGAGCGCTCAGTGGAATGAGTTAAAATCACACTATGTTGTCTGTGCTGCCCTTGCCAACTACCACGGGCTGCTCAGAAGAGAAATAGATTGCGTTGCATCACACTGTTCTCAGTTTACACTCAACAGTGTCTCTGTATCGCAGCGTGAACACAAGTCTTTGTTTTAATATCCGTTAGTTTATAGAGCGGCGGTGGTCTCATCTCGCTGCCTGCCATATGGGCATTCCACCAAATAGACAATTCACCGTCCCCCTCGCCGCTGTGGATAACTTTGGAGTGAACACGCCACGAGATGATTGCGATGTCCTAAAATTTGATTTAAATAAAAGGCTTAGAAATATAAATTTCTGCTAAAAGCTCATCGGCAGGATAGCAGCACCCACCCCCGTGGCCCCCTTGGCTGCCCTTTTTAGATTCTCTTTGGCTCTGACACCATCAAGAAATTACTGAGTGCATCCCTTGCTCACGACACCTGCCTCTCAGTGGCTCGACCAGCACGGCCGGCCAGCTCTGCATTATTATACATCCAGGATGCCATCAACTCACCATGGTATGATCCTTTGATTACAAAGCTCATGAAAAGTAGGGATAAGGCTTGGGCATGTGCTCAGAAAAGTAATTTGGTAAATGACTGGCTAGAGTACAGGATTTTAAGGAATAGATGCGTCAAAAAAATACGGCATGCGAACAAATGCCTACTTTTCCTCCACTCTCCTGGAATCACATGGAAATTCCAGGATTCTTTGGAAAACAATCAAATGTATCGAAAAGGCATCCAAAACAGACAATCTGCCCGTTGAGCTAAACCGAAATGGGGAATATTTTTCAGATCCCCAAAAAATAGTTGTCAATTTTAACCTTCATTTTTCTGAAGCTGGTAATCTTTTTGATAATGTATTGGGAGTCACCCCTGCTCATGCAAATTCCTACACCCCTGTCCAAACATTAAACGAATTTAGTTTCCAGCCAATCCACGAAAGTAATGTTCTGAAACAGCTGTCCTACCTCAAAGGGTCCTCCTCTACATGAGCAGATAGTTTTCCCGTCTTTGCTCTACTAACTTTTGGTCACCTAATATACAAACCTATCGCCCATATTTTCAACCTGTCCATCAAAGAAACATCAGTTCCTCTAGAATGGAAACATTCCTATGTTCGTCGACTTCACAAAGAGGGCCCTAAAGATGATCCCAATAAGTATCGACCTATCTCAATTTTGTCCTCATTGATGAAAATTTTTGAAAAATTATTAAACTACCAAATTAGCAGTTTCCTGTCGACCAACAATCTACTACATCTAAAACAATATGGGTTCCGAAAAAAATACAGCACCACATCTGCTGCATTAGACTCTCTGAATCAAATTTACAGTAGCCTTGATAATAAGCAGTACTGTGCCTGTCTTTTTCTTGACCTGTTCAAAGCTTTTGATACAGTAGACCACAACACCCTGCTTGGTAAACTAAGTTGCCTCGGTTTTTCCAAAAACACAGTAAAATGGTTAAAAAAATATCTCTTTTCTCGCACCCAAACTGTATTCACAGATGGTTGGAGGTCAAACAGTGTTAAGATAACAAAAGGGGTTCCACAGGGTTCCATCCTCGGCCCCTTCTTGTTCTCTCTTTATGTCAATGACGTGGGCACTAACCTGGATCATTCCCGGGTAAATCTTTTTGCAGATGACACGATACTGATTACTGCTGGCCGCTCTCCGGATGACGTGATTGCTAAGATCCAGGGTGATTTCAACAAACTACAACATCAGCTAGTTGCTCTTAAACTAGTCCTGAATACCTCCAAAACCAAGGTGCTATGCTTCTCACCAGGACTAAAGCAGAAAGTTATTTTTCCCAAATTACATTCCTTAAATAATTATCAAATAGAGCAAGTCAAAATCTATAAGTATCTTGGGGTCATCCTGGATTCAAAACTGAATTTTGAAGATCACATTGATTATATTGGTAAAAAGACAAAAATAAAAATTGGTTTTCTGTATCGACACAAGCACTGCTTCCCCCCTATGTTCCGTTTGGAATTGATAAAAGCTACCATACTGCCTCTACTTGACTACTGTGACATCGTGTATAAATCAGCCCCAAGTACTGTACTGAAGAAGCTTGATTCCATATATCACTCGGCCTTAAGATTTGCATTGAACTGCCCATATAGGACTCACCACTGTGATCTCTACATTGGGTCAAACTTAACATCTCTTAATGTTCGACGGCTTGTACACCAGATCTTATTTATTCACGATGTACTTACAAAAAATCCGCAGACTACCTGCTGGATCTCCTCTCTGTTTCAAAGGACAAATTTGACCTCAGGTCTTTGCTCATTTACCAGCTTCACATTCCCTATTGCCGTACAAAAACCAGAGGAAGGGCCTTTGCTATTGATACCCCCAGGGTCTGGAATGCTATTGCCAATAAACTGCAACTTGAATCACTACCTATGAGATCTTCACTCAAAACTGCTCTAGAGGAGTTGTACACCCCTAGCTGCTACTGCTATTCAGTGGCCTAAAATAAAATAAAATGTTTCGCTCCGGATGACCGCTGCAAAGTATTATCTGTATTTTGATTTAGTGTGCTGATCTTAAAGGTGCATTGAAAAATGTGATACTCTGACTGATGCTCCTGTTGTTTGTGGAGTGACTCATGCAGCCAGCTGTGGCTCTAGGGTTTGGTGTTACATGTTATTTATGTAGTTTATTGTTAAAAATTCGGTCACAGTTCCTATGATCACTGTTACATTGCATTTATGGCTTTATTTTGGTGATTTCTAAAAGTTTTTTGGCTTGACCATGTTTTTGTTTATTGTAGTACGGAGTTAGACTGATGGCCTTAGTCTAAGTTTTCCTGTTGTTGTTGTTGTTGTTTGACTTGCATCCCACTGGGATTTTTGCACATAGCGTTGGTGTACGGTGCTATTTCAGGAATATTTTGATGTTTTTTCCTGGATTTTCTGTTTGCACATGCACAAAGTCACTTGAAGATGTTTTCTTGTTCATGTTTTAGTTTTTTTGTTTGTTGCGGTTGCACCCGATTCAAGAGCCGAATGGCTCACAGGGCTATACCAAATAAATGAAACTATAAATGAAATGAAACTATGAACTCTCTCCCACACGCAGTCACCTTCATGTGATCAGGTGAGCGGAGTTATCGTTTTTGCAATTAATCCCTGCGGTATTGGAAGGTGAAACTTGGCCATTGGACAATCTCCTAGAAAAAAAATAGACACGCACCACTGTCCATTTAATTTCCATAGTGGGGTCTTATTAATGGTGCAACAATCACAGTATCCCGTGATGGCACATTTAAAAAAGCACCGTGGTATTTTCCCTACATTAACCATCTAGATACGAGTACGGCCACGCTTTTGACAAAAACAATGGAGTGGAGTTCACTGAGTGCTGTTTGCACGCATCTGGAATATTGTCTATTGGGAAAAGCTAGAATACTGATTAGACTTTTCAGAATCAGGTCTCGGAAATGTAGCTACGCGGTGATAGAGCAATAGCCTGTTATCTATTACCTACCGAAATGCAGCAGCTTTGAACTTCAGAATGCGCTTATGGATGCGTCAATTACAGTGCTGATAGAGTAGCGTCATTTTGTGCGGAGGCACGAGGTGGAGGGCACAGGCCTCAAAGGAGTTCAAGTTTATTTAGTTTACCCATCTGAAAACTCAACAGATCAGAGTGACCTGGGATATTAGTCTGCCAGTAGGGGGCGATGATTGCTATGCGTCCCATTGTATACTTTTGAGGGCAATCTTCAACTTTGGCCTCACCACACCCTTACTAATACCCGGACACTAGCATCGAGCAGACGCTATTTTAACTAAGCACAGTATCTTGATTTGAAGCTTCCATGACTGCAGGAATCCATACTCTTTGGTTCTTTCGGTAAAGTCACGTGGGTAGAAAAATAAAACAAAACAAAAAATAATACTTTATTTCTCTATCTACGTGACTTTACCGAATTGAACCAAAGAGTAAGCACAGTATGTACAAAGTGCAGGCTTTCCGACAGATATTACTCCCTTGTGTGCCGACGAAATGGACCAAACTTGCTCTTGCAACAGTGATGCTTCGCTCCCCATCTCCGCACACTCTGTGCGCGCAGTTTTGGGGCGCGTCTTCCCAAGACACGCCTGGGAGGGAACGTCCTCGCGAGCTCTGTCGACAGCACAGAGCGGTGAAGACCGGCGACGCGCAGAGTTCCACGAGTCCAGGTGGAGGAGTCCTTGAGCTGTGATCGTCACCGAGGGCTCTCGGTGACAGCAACCGAGCACTGTGACCTACACGGACGTGCAAGGGAGTCATTGCACCGCGATTCGCAGCCTTCACACTGAGTTTTTGTTTACAAGGGTGTAATTAATTCCCCGCATATGTTCGCAACATCTGGCGCACTGACCTGCCGTAGGATTCGGTAAATTACCGCTGTGCTGATCCACCTCAGATCATTAGCGGTGAAAGAGGAATTACATCACACTCGCGCGTGCGTACGCCTCAGCATATGACTTCATTAGTTCTGTTCTACGATAAATGGATGGGAGCAGATTTAAAAAGCATTACCAGAGACTTCACGCTGCAGTAAGTGCAATCGGCGGCTAATGGTATGGCTAATGCAGTCCGCGGTGTCTGGGACAGATGCGGCGGGTACAACGTCACACACTTTCAAAGAATCTCTCATCTGGTTTCGTGAGTGGCTGCATTTGCATGGTGCCACCCATGGTCAATAAATCTTCTAAAGCCGCTCATTTACGTTTAACCCGTCCAATTGGATTGATGGCTGCCCGTTTGGCTGAGAGTCTTGTTTGGGGGAATGACAGATGGTGGCTGCTTACTCGGCCTTCTGTTTATAACTAACCATCTCAGCGATGTCCTCTTTATTTGTGGGATTCATCACTTCTTACAAAAGAAAAATCATCAATGAAAAGTTTACGAGCCGTGGACTTTCCACATGCAAACTCACACATTCTTGTCTGCACAAATGCAATATATTCTCCAAGTACAATCTTTAAACATGAGCAGCATTATCGGAATGGTAAAACAATCGGTACAATGCGCAATACTTCCTATAAATATGGCAAAAGTACGTGGTAAAACGTCCTATTCCAGTGCAAAGATGATATCTTCGAGCTGGACTAATACACTGTATAGCAGAGTCAAACGTGCACATTATTAGAAACGTGGCTATGCAAAACCCTGAGCTCTAAAGGAGATTGAACGTGTGCTAAAGTCCTCAGTAGAGGTTGTGTGCCAGCGAGCGGCCTGTGTCCCACGTGGAGCCGGGCTCTCCGAGCAGCCCTTCCGAGATGAGTGGCTCGGAGCGTCTCCGTGGCACACATCATTTAATCAGGCCCACGAGCGGGCGCCTCCTCACCGTGTGAACATTAATGGCGAAATAAATCTACGGCGCACCGCTGAGCAGACGCGTCCTTCCCAAACAGATGCTTCCCTTCCCCAACTGCCCTCGCATCCCAACCTCCCCGGCGCTGGCAGTGCCTCACCTTCTTATCCTTCTCCTTGCCACCCACCGTGCCACTGCTCACATATTCGGCCCTTGACGGAAACCTCACCCATACCCTGATTTATCGCCGCATTTTTTTTTCATAGCACGCTCATATTGCAGCGCCGCAAACGAAATTAGTAGATACTGAGTCGTGATTTATAATTAACGTTGAACTATAGATTCTCCATCAGCATATGCAGCGATTATCAATCCGCTGCAAAATGAAGGCCTCAGCCAAGTCGCCACGATCTTTCATGGTCTTCCACTTCAGCTCCAATTAGCACGGTAGGCTAGGTACGTATGGTGCGAAGGAAGTTCAGCATACATATATACATACAATGTAACAACCCATGTAGCTTCTGCACCCGGGCCGATTCCATCTCTTCGTACTCGAGGTGGATGCCGTCTTAGGCATGTCATTTTATTACAAAGTTCAGGACTATAACAACCTTCCCCCATCTAACTCTTTAATTTGTCATTTTGGTCACAGCCCACCTTCAAGAACATCTCGAGGTATATAGTTGCCTACTCTGACGTGTTTTATAGTTGTGTCCTTCCAAAACGTATTTTAATGTTTATTGAAGTTGTTGTACAAACCATCCATGAGACGAAGAGAAAGTTTCAGATATCAGACTTGAAGAAGTAATCACTGCAATTCACAGTTATATCATGTGGTATAACTGTGCACATCATTAAAGAAGCGGGACTAGTCAGATCTATTTACGAAATGTTTACAAACATAACATACACCAGTCGTGGAATAACGCCTCAATCATTCTATTAAAAAAATGCCTCGAAGACTGACTTCAAGAATGACAGACCCATTACCGTGTTATATGACATGTATTTAAAATGTTTAAGAAGATCATTGTCTCCGCTTCTCGTGTATGGCATAACATTCCTTCCGGCCTTCAAGGGGCAGCAGAGGGCACATCGTCTGTGTGGAAGAGCGCTCCAGCGACGCTTGGGGCTTTGCCCCGTGCCTCGGACATGTGTTGCCGACTTGTTGGACACAAATAAGTTCGTTGTAAATCGAACCTATTGTTAGTATTCTTATTATCAATGGAACGTAATGATGGAACACGAGGAGGCCAAAGAACCACGTGAGTATGATGATGATGGGTTTAATTAAGTGTCTCTACCGTCGACCACACAGTACTGGAGCACACATCAGATTCTGAAAAAGATAAAAATTAAGCAGTCATTAACACTCGCGACCAAGGCGTTGAAAGTATTTATATGCAATAAAAAAAAGTTGACAAAAACTGGAACGGCTATATTGAGACGGCATGAAGAAGGCAACAACGCACACGTTAGAAATGGCGTCGGATAAGGAGATGTTATTCACAGCAATATTAGAATGTGTTTTATGCCAAATTAGATTAGAAGAAAAAGAAGCAAAGGAAATCGTGGAGTAACTTAATTTAAAATAAAATTATGAAAAGCTGTGCAGAAGATGAATGTGAGAAAAACACAGTATTGCATTTATGATTATGTAAATTCCAAGACCATTTACTGCTTTGAAAGAATTGGCAATATATTGAATGAAGTGCATGACGGGTGAGCATTATCAACAATCTTAACCTCAAGTCACAAAATGCCACGTCGCTCCGTCTCTCTCTTCTGCACAACCGTCCTCAACACGAATACCCCTCGCATGCCCCTGTTGCTCTAAAATCCCAGCTGAGTTCTCCCTCCACTCTACGCTGCAATCAGAGGTTGCACCCAGGCTCCTTTACTCAACCGAGTCGGGATGGATTCTCAATCGCAAGTCTCCGTGGGACGACTGATACATCACATGCCGCTTGTGTACGATCTCACAATTACAAAACAACAGTGATTGAACCAAATGTAAATAAGCTTCCTGGAAACGAATAAATGTTGGTTTAAGTAATGTCCCGCAGCTTGTAACACGAAGAGAGAGGCACGCTTGTCAGTGGCCACCGTGCGTGCGAGTTTGGTGAATCACTTATCTCACATCTATGGACCTTTGCTCGTTAGGACACGTTCTGCAAACGGTACTACAATTACAGACTGGTTTACTATTAATTAAGCAAGCTGGCGATATCAAGTCAATTACAAATGTACGAGTAATTACATTAACACAGGCAGCGGATGTGATTAGCATGTGTGGCTGCTCTAAGGAATTAAAAAGAGATGCGGTACAGCGATGGAGCCGCTTCCACTGATGGGGAAAGAGTTACATTGTGGTCACCAGGTCTAGGTACTCATCAGCAGGCTGTAGCCTCATCGACGTGACCCATGTTGACCATAGAGGTTCCTAGCACGGGCATCCAATTGGACAAGTCACTGTGAAATTGCTTGCTGATGAACCCTAAGCACTTCTAGGCAAGCCAAGTCTGCCTAGTTTCACACTGCCGAAAGGAAAATATTGATAACACGGAACACAGCAATTGAGGATGTTCCGGCCTGAATTGGCAGAGTATGCATAGGTTCTAAGAAGTTAAATACTGATTTCTGGGAACTGCAGACTTAGAAGGCCACTAATAATTATTGTTCTTCCATCTGTTGGACAACATGTGTTTAGGTAGTGCATGACTAATCTCAATGTGTAATCAGTATCGACCTTGAGTCATCCTACGAGAGGATCGTAGCTCACCTTTTTTTATTCATTGAGATGTTTTTTTGTCGTGTTTAGCTTTGAACGGAGACATGCCAATTATTCATCGCCAAAGAAAAAGACACCGGCTCCTTTTCTAAAACACCAATGCAACACGAACGCCGTAGTGTGATTACATTTGCTGTAAACGTGCAAAGCCGCATGTGTTAGCCCAGATGCACAGCACCATGTGGTCCTCAAGCGCACGCTGTTTCCCGAGTGTCAAGACTAAACTATATATATATTTTTTACCAGGTAAGGCCCACTGAGCTATATAACAACTATTTTCAGAAGTGGCCTGGCTCCAAATGATAGCCCAACGAAGTTGTTTATCACGTGGAAATGCATCGCAGCCAAATACTCGAAACGCGTGTTTCTAAATGTGGAGGGAAACCCCCGGAGGACCTGCAGAAAATCCACGCGACTACGGGGAGAACATGCAAACTCCGAATATACAGGTGTTAGGGTCGGGCTGGAATCTACGACCTCCTGTATACCAAGCGAAGTAGTTAACATCTCGTCACTGTGTGCTCTGACTGCTGCACACAGCCGCGTGTTCCCGTGCAGTCAGCGCTGCCAACAATCCCCCATTAACTAATGACGCACAAAATGCACAGCGAAACGAGAGATGAGGAGGCAGCGTGAACAACTCCGGGCTCTACGGGATGCACAAATTTGGAATTTTGGAGCGAAGCGAGTCGAGTCACGGCCGCCAAACACCTTTACACTTGCTGACAAATCCATCACGCCTTGCGAGCAGGGGCCGTGCACTGTCGTGTTAAAAGTTCCCAACCTGTATTATTTCGGAGCATTTTGCATTGCTAATACAACGTGATAACATCGCGATACGTGGCGAAGCTCACATGGCGGCGCACAGAACATTGAGTTGTAAAGAAAAAAAATTAAAGCAGCTCAATTTAACACATTTCTCTAGACAGTCACCAGGACACTACGAAACGGCACATCAATTCTTCATACTTGCGTAACGTTGTGTGCCGATGAGCTCGCTCACACTGAACCTATTACCTGTCAACACCTCCATGGCTGCGCCTGCCATTTCGCCACACACTAATGTGATTTTTTTTGTAAATTTTAATTCGCTTTTTCTTTGTGGCATCAGGCTATGACAATGCACTATTCCCAACCAGAGCAGTCAACCCTAAAAGAAAAAATGAACAGAATATAAAATAGCAAAAAAAATAAAAACGCCTGCCATGAACTCAACAGGCGAGCGGCCAATTTCATATTCTCACGACTCTATTTGAGGCGTGTTAATGTAAATCTGTGCATTCATGTCCTGCTATTCCAACAAGTATTTATATGCATTGGGGGAATGTACACATTGATATTTGTATTGAAAAAAATGGTTAAAGCGTACTATTATTTTACAACACTTCAGAGTAACATAGAAATCAAACATCTCATTCATTTATATATTTTACTCATAAATGTCTCTTCATCCAAAACAATACATCTGCAGAGCAATTACCATCTCAATTTAACATCAGCAACGATCACTATTGTCGATCCCCATGTTAGCTGCCCCAATCCCAGTTGATCATTTACAGGCCAAGCAAGAATACTCTGCATCAACCCTGGCAACAAACAAAAAAAGCTTTATCCATCAATGTGACAGCAGCGACCGATGTGAAAATCCTGCCACCAAAAATTGCAAACTGTTTAAAGAACAAGTCCAACAGATTTTGCGAGGGACCTGTGCAAATGCAATCAGTCACGCAGACAAGCTGCACACACGAGTAAATCATACTTTGAGAAGCCTTGGGCAAGTAATTCTCGCCGAAAGAGAGAGAATAAAGGTCTGACAAAAATAGCCAGGAACAAATGTCCATAGACCAAATTGAATCCCTTCATGACCATCTCACATTTCTTATCCTTAAACTGCTGTTTTATAGCACTTGAACCGAAGGTAGTGAACACTAAAAAAGGTGAGAGAGAGAGAGAAAAAAAAAGGAAAGTGATAGCCACGTTTAATTGGTTAATTTTTCATCCATGGACATGCGGTAACATGGCTGAATATCCTTTATTGGCGATGATTAATTTTTTCTATAAACTCAGAGTCAGCCGACCTGACTGGGTCTGGCTGACACATCCACCTTGTGATTTACATGGGCCCACCGAGAGAGGATTCTTTTAGGCCTCACGGCTCTGCACCTCCACGACAAGCTCACACAACCTCGGCGTGACCGTAGCTCGAAGCGAGACGGCTAAACGCATGTTCGCGGCAGCGTTCTAATGACTCATGTCAATAACAGAAACACGTGGCATGCCAAAATTGGTGTGAACATGCAGCCAAAAAAAAAGAATCAACATTTTGTAACGTAGAAAGTTTGTGTGCAAAAAACGTTCTCACGGTGCGCAACTGATGCAAATGCAATCGCTGCGAATCAACTGTGCAGCCACGCGAAGTGAAATGTGCCCAAGGTGCGGTGTCTGTGAGCTACGCGCACGTGGCTCGTCCACGGTGTGTGAAGCGCCGCGGTAGATGCCGGAGGGCCGCGAGTGGCGACGCCGGCCAGCGGCACCACGCTGTGTCATAACAGTGACACTTCATGGTCCTTAACTCAGCGAGTCCCGCTCTGAGGAAAGTGCCATAACAGGCAATGAGGCGCAGTCCGATTACAGCAGCAGCCACGTGCGCTAATTTGATGGAAGCAGATTGTCTTTTAACACAATAAAATACAGCAGCAGTAAAGCTGTCAGTTTAATTGTCCTTCAAGGAAATGAGGGACGTTAAGTCATATCTTTTGCGCCAGCAGAATCAGATTCCTGGTTATCTGGAGCCAAGCAAATGCCCTTATCAGAACACTCTGCCTTACGTGTCTCCGCATCTTAATTTGCAGATTGCTTGATATTGCTCGGCATTAGAAAGGTGCTGAAAATTGAAGTGCAGTTGTCATTTAGTTAACTTTGAAATGTTTACAAACGGCGGCCCACTCACGTTGTGATGTCAGCCGTAGCAGTGCACGGATTCAAAATGCAATGTTTAGAGGCAAATATGTAATATTTGGAAAAAACTTGCACTTGCCAAAGGGAAACTGCTGATATGGAGATAAAATATCAGCTTTTTTGTGCACAGAGCAACACAGGATGGCTTAAAATGTTCTTGTGCTAGATCATCAACAACGATGTGCTATAACACTCGCATTCGTCTCAGCAAAATGTCAATCCCTGATATCAATGTACATACTTTGTACCCAAGGTAAACTGAAAGGTTGCAATCGAAGATATTGTATTTTGTTGTGTAAATTACAAAGCGATGCTTACACTTTACATCCTTGATTATTTCCTGGCAGGAAAAAAAGACAAAATGTTAACATGTTTTGAAATTACCTCCGAGTCTTGAAAGCATTTTGACACGCCGTGCATTTTCTGCCAGCGACAGAGAAAGCGAGGCGACAGTTGTTGTGGATGTGCAGGGTTAGGTCACATCACGCAAATGACATTTTATGACATGGTACTGATTTGTATCACAGGCTGTTGGCGGTTAGCAGACAGGCAGATGAGCAGGGCGCCCACCCTGCTATCTTCTTCAAACTAAAATGCCAAACATAGTACATTGTTACAAAAGTGAAAATCGTACTACATTGTATTTGCAAAAGTTTGATATATATTTTTAAAGGAGCACGCCATGAATCTGCTTGAGATAGCACGGGCGTTGCAATTATGTCAGCATCAAGGAATGACAGTCGACAAATTCTGATGTTTAGCCCCCATTACAAGGATTACGGACACATCCATACGCTCGTGCTTGCAAACACTCTGAGTCGACATAGCACAACACACGGCATCAATAAGAGCCCCTGGATTGCACCTGCCACAGTGACAAAGAGTAAAGAATGCCGAAGCGAAGTTGGTCTCTGTCCATCTGTTCAAGTTCTCGGGTAGCTCCAGCGGACCCATTGTGGGCCACTCCACTCGCATCCTCCACTCCTCCCACTCGTGCGGCTCCCAGAACACCTTCACTAACCCCCCCCCCACTCCTTCACTCCCACTGCCCACCGACCTGCCCAGCAAGGACACATGCCGCACACTCGCAGGCGAGAGAGAGAGAGCCCAGCAAGCTGCCAGGTGGGGACAGGGAGGATCCCCACTCAGCCCCGCACTCCTTTACCCCCCAACCTAAGCCCCCCACAGGGCATAACATGCACTAACAGCTGCCCTGTGTCAAGCGTGTTTTCATCAGCACTAACAAAATTAGGCAAGAGCTCTCTCCATTTGCAAGTCAATGTCATCACACACAATAACCCACTTCTCTTGAAAATACAATAATTGGTTCAATCAACGTCTGGGAATGTTTTTTTCATAGCATGTGCGTGACATGCAATTTCAATTGTTTTCGCAAACAGTGCGGTTTTTAATTGCCATTGATATTTTAAACGATACCGTGAATCAAAATGTAAATTTATTTTGCGTTGTGAATTTTTTTTTTGCATTGGCAGACTTCTTCACCAAGTAGTGTGTTCGTCAACGTACACCAATTTTAACCGTTGGATAAAATTCGCAGGCCCTGTGACCAGGTGAAAAATCGGTGGAAATCTGATGAGTTGTAGCCGAAGAGGAAAGCGACGTGATCCGCTAGAAGAACGTCCAGGACGCTACAAAATTTCATCCTTCGCGGAATCCTACCTCGGCCACTTGAAGAGCACGTCCTTCTGCAATACCCAGCAGATACCTGGCACATCACGGGCACAGAGGACACTCCGCGTATGCCACGTTAATAGAAAAAAAAAACTGCTTAGTGTGTTAATATTCCAGTCGATCGATTTAGCGGCGAGCAGTGCAGGCCACGGGGGGCCGCGTGGACCCACGGCGCTGAGTGCTGTTCGGCGCGGCAGCTTGTCAAGACGCACGCGGGGTCACGGGTGGCCCAGTGAGGCGGCCCTGAACGCGAAGGGCCAGGGAGGGGGGGCAGTTGGGGCAGGGCCGTGGGTGCACGACACCGCCATGAATATTCAGCGCAGCAGCTGCACGGACAGTAGCCTCACAGCGTCCGCGCGCTGCCCCGGGTCACCTCATTGCATATTCATGCTTAAGTGCTCCGGCTCTCCCAGGTTGTGTCTCACAAATTGTTGTACAGAGAATGTTGAGGTGGCACAAAGTGACCGTGGCTAATTTTAAAATACTTCACACACTTCATTGAAGGACCAGATCATTTGATCATTTCCATTCATTTCAAATTGCTAATATATGATGCCACCTGATAATGCCTCATTAATACCATGCAGGATATTAATAAAGTTTAGATTCTTGACCAGTGTACTCTATTTCAGTTGTATCGTGGACTGCTTTAGCTAAGACCAGTACCCCCTCTTGTTCTGTATTAAGGCATTTGGACTGCCTCGCATCTTCGAGCGAGTTTACAATTTGGATCGCCACAGCCACCCAGTGATTTCAGTGAGGAAAACATTCCCCGACATTCGTGTGCCTACCCAGCAGGCACACAATGGCCTGATGCTCGCAAAATGTTGTCATGGGAACTCCAGTATTCACCCTGGGAGATAGCACATTTTTGTCATTCCCTTCAGTGATTTGCCTGTCAGCTGTGTGAAGTGAATGGTCATTGCACTCACCTAATGTTAGACTTGTGTTGAACCTTACAGCAGTCATGTATGCAATCATACACAGAAAGTGCATTCTTGAGCAGTCTTATTAAATGGAAAAATAAAAATGTTATGTCTGATGGTATAAACGATAGCTATATCTCATGCCTGGTGTATTTGTAGATATTACAGAATATGTGAACAATACCTTGTTTGCTAAAACAAATAAATCAATTTCCAGGCATTATTTGTTCCTTGCAGGCAGCTCCTCCTTGCAGCCTCTGTCGGTAAGTGGCACATGGGGAGGTGGGGGTGGCGACGCAGACAGCAGGGAAGGGGATGGTTTGCCATGAAGTGTCTGCTCATACGCCTTCAGCTGGGGCCACTCCACACAGCATGGCACCATGGATTAGCCTGCCAAGCTGTCGCCAAACACTGACGAGTGAGCACCACTGTCGACACACCCAATGTCAGCATGGGAAAACAAAAAAAATAAAACCCTAAAACACATTTGAGAAGATGGACGCTACGGACATAAGTGGCTCACGGTGGGGTAATGCACAGAACGAGAGTGTGAGCTTGGGTAGTGCTACTGTCCTCCAGGTTGCTGGATTGCGTCCCAGCTGCACGCACATTTTACTAATGCATGAAGTGTAACACTGAAAGGTCATTAATTCCATACTCTTATTCCTTTTATAGGCAAAACACTTCGGGGATTGCGACATTGTTTGATTTTCAAATTACTGCATCAAATGAAAACAAAGATGTGCCTGTACCGTAGCAATATCTGTCACATTCACACGATGAGATTTGTGTGCCCACAGTATTAATTAAACTCATTGCTGTGTAGCAGCCACCCCATCATTTCCCTTTGTTGTAATTAAATGGAGTGGCTGGGAGGAACAAAAAGTGGATAAATATAACATGTGCATTGATATTTTTGAATAAACCGAGTTAAAAGAGTGATATATAATTCATGCACCGCACCAAATAAATTCCCCACTCGCGAAAACTGTATTATTTATGATCAGCATCTCAGCATTACCGTGAGTCCATGAAACTAATAGGGCTAAATTTGTACAAAACACTGACCATCTTTAAATATTTGTTAGCAAAAGGATTTATCTCTTGCCAACGCATTTCTAAGAATGCCTCTAAACCACGACCGGCAGAGTGTGCGGAACTTCCTATTAGAGCCTGGTGAAAGGATGAGGAGCGCATGGGCACTTGCCGCCTTGACAGGCATTAGACTAATGACATGTCTGTGCGGCAAGATGACGCGCAGTTAGTGGCCCTCGGCGTGCGGTTTCGGGCCTATTAGTGCTGTTCCTGCCTTCCTGAAACGAGGTAAAGTAAACCCAACAGCTTGGCTGGGGCTATTGATCAGGGATGCTTTAACATGCAAATGAGAAATGCGGCCCCAGAGATAGCGTTACGGCCGTGCGCGGCGCGCACAGGTAGACACAATTAGTGGACGTAACAGGCACCCATGTTGGCGTCTCACAGTCGCTGCTGGTTCCTGACCTTTTACTCTTTTCAGCCCCTTGAACCGAGAGCCACCGAGCAGCTTTTATAATGTACACACGGCACAACATTTGTGTGACCTTGTGGCAAAATTGCCGCACTCAAATTTGAGCCGATATTACGAGACCCAGAGTATCAATAAGTGTTCCCCAAGAAACAACAGTAACTAACACCATTTTAATGTTTTCCTTTTGGCATAAAAAGGACATTTACGAAGAGCAAACTTTGAATTCTGAGCATGCTATTGAGAATTGATGATAAGTGTTTTTATACCGTCATCAGTATGGCTCATTGACAAAGTAATACTTCTTACAAAGCGGAATGCGCCCACAGTAGCCTTTGTGAAATTGTCTGTACGCTGAGATAGATGGCAGTCAGCCGGCTGTTGTGCTTTTATGTGCACTGGCATTCTGCCAGCAATTGTGCTTTTGTGTGTTGGTAGACAAACAATTTTACCGAGATTCAACATATTCCTATCAAAGCACCGTATGTCCAAGAAAAGTGCGCGTCTGGTAGCTCGTTTGGTGAGCGGGTGGTCGCGGAGGGCTGTGATGTTGGGAGGAACAGCTGCCAAGTCAGCTTCCTGCCAATTGGTGAGTTCCTTCCATTAACCTCTTCCAGTCCGCTGCTTCAATCACATCTTACATTTAACAGCAATGCCTCGTGAAAGGATGCTTGTCAACTTCATGCAAACTGTTTTCATATAAAATGGCAGCCACAAAAGCACGCAGCTATACACATTCTCATCTGAGTTAAAGCACTGTCAATGTTCTAAAATATGTTTTCTGGAAACAGTATTCTTTCTGAAAATGAATGCACTATAGAGACTGATTGAGGGTGGCACTCCCTAAAAATCATGCTTTTGATCAAATATTTTACATACATTTTATATTAAAGAGAGGAACACATTTCTTGAGCACTGCAATACTTCGTATGAGATTTTGGTACCAGGTGTACAGGCACGTGTGAACCTTATGGCGGAAACATGGGGTACCATAGTACCCCGGCTCTCGCATAATGTCCGTGTAGTAATTTTTAGTCTGTTGATGGTCGGCGACGCGGCAATCGACTCATCTCGACGAGCTTTACACGATGCACCACCATGGTGCGTTACGAGCGTTCAGGGTTTCAGCGCAATCGCGGGGTAGCACTGATTTCGGATTGATTGGTACCCCAGTCGTCGCGGAGTTAAGTAACACCCCTGGAAAAAAATAGTGTCCCAGAAATAAAGCATTTAATTGCCTCGGCCCATTTTGTATTATTTGGTACCCCGGGGTACCGCCATCAGGACCATTTGGCACTTTCATTTAAACCTGTCTGCAGTTGTAACTAGGCCTACGTTTCCCTCGGCTCCTTCTCGACGCCAAGAACAGTGCAACAGCAGCAGACAATTCGCCGTATTCATGTTGTGCAAATGCACGAAACTTTATTTATTTCCTATTTTTATTTTCCCAACTGTAGACTGCCAGATGGGCACTGCATCGAGATGTTTTAGCGGCGTGTTGTCGCGTCGATACCCAGCAGACGGAATGTCGCCACTGTGTGGCAGCAAACAGTCAGTAAACAGGTCCGACAACAGACACACCCTGGGCAAGCGGGCAGAGCGACCCAGACACCAGACCACAGACGCAATCTGCTGTGAGCGTGTGACCAGACAGTTATTTGTAAACTGTCTATATCTGACTGTGATGTCTGTTGCATCATCGGGAATTACAAGTTCTCTACAGGCCCACGAGTTAGAAAAAAAAGCAGGATTGTTTGTCAGACAGCTGGGAAGCTTCCTGAAACAACCCACCATTGATTTCTCTTCAGCAGCGGAAAGTGCCTCGTATGCACGTGACCTGGTTTCAATTAGGAAGTGTCGTATGTTTTTGTACTGGCCTACATGCTTGAACCACCCCATGTTTTAATTTGCACAAGCACAGTTTGGCTCAATAAATGTTTTTTCTGGTTTGTGAGAAATTCAGATCACAACGCAAAAAGAAAAAAACTAAAATTGGAATGTTTACTGTAAATTAAAATTACATTTTAAGTAATTAAATTCAAACTAAAAGACAAATAAGGTAGGGAGCCACATTTGTTTGAGTTAAATTTAGGCATTTAACATGGCTGTTAATGTTCATAAATCAGTATTGCCAGTGTGCTACATACAAACAAGCAAGGGTGAGTGACCAAATATCCAATTTTCTATGTATTAGATTAGTAAAATGTGTAAACGTTGAGGTAGCAACATTTTAAGGTCCCATTAGTATTAAACAAGAACAGTTTACAGATTATTTTCAAGTAAAGCTTATTACAGCTTTATCATTATCACCAGCAATGCAACCTTCCTCCCATAGTGGTAATGTCAAAGATACAACAGCAAAGACAAAGCAAGTTGTTTTTTTTACTTATCACTTATCCTATGATGCATCTTAATCACTGAAGTGCCTGTGAATGTAATCTCATTTACCTGAAAGGCTCTTCCTGTTTTAGTACAAATAGGCTGTTAGAAATGTAACATCTTCTTTCATTTAAAAATAGCAATTCCCAAATCACCGCACACTTGTTAAACGATGTTTTTGTTGTTGTATTTTTTTCCGTTTCATCTGCATTTCTAGTTCTCCAAGGAACAGCTCCATTCGCATGCCTCAAACCTCCTGTCCCTGGGAGTAGGTCTTCCCCAGCTTCTCGAAGATGGGGATTGGTGGAAAGACGGTTTGGTACGCCTGTCGGAAAAGAGAAAATACTTGGGATTCTGGACAAGCAAGGCTACAGCGTCATCTTTTCGTAAATCACTTCAGCTTGCACACCGAGTCGCACAAATACATTATTTACAACCCACAGTGCAAATACTGGAATTGTTGGCAGCTGCTATTCTTTAAACTAGTTCTGGGGTTTCTAATATTATCTTTTTTTTCTGATGCCAAATAAGAACACCTGAGGCCCATCCTTTAAGTTTAACCCTCCCTTTGGCATTCTGACGCCTGCTGCTTGCCTTCTGTGCCTCCTCGCACCCCCCACCCCCCTCTCTCTCATTCCGTCTCTCTTGCATCCGTTCACGAATCTGGGCTCAGCTGCAAGAACCAACCACCATTTAATTCCCCGCGCCATGGGTCTCTGCCTACAAGCAGCCTTCGAGGCTAGAGGCTTGCAGCATCCACAAACTTCCATCCACCTCCCATTTCCCACACCTCCGGTTATCACGGTTGGCTACGTACGGTGTGAAAGAAGTTCAACATATATACATTTCGAAGATAACTTGAATCTTCTTGTCTCCCATGGCTATTTTTGTTAGAAATTAAAACAAGAGCATTGTTTTAACAAAATGTTACAACCAAACTCTCACAAACGTACTATAATGAATAACCATTGTATGAAAAAAAGTAATACACGCTATTATCTGCTTAAAATAAATATTTTAGTTGTTCAACAACGTATTCCATTTTTTGTCTATTTTTATTACAGCTGTTATGCGAATATTTTGTTTAGACATTCATTTTAATAATATGTTGTACTCAACAATGTGGAATAGTGTTATACTCGTAATAGTTTATACCACATCGTGATGGAAACACTGCATTTGCTGATTAGTTTTCACATTTACAATAGTGTTAACAAAGATTGTATTACAAAATTGCTCATATATTGCACCCTATATGTACAACTTAATATGCATACACACCCCCATGTAATGGTATTTATAAACGTATAAGTAAACGTGTGTAAACACACACAAACATCTACTGTACAGTAAATCAACTATTGTAGCATAAGCCCTCTCTGCAGGGCTGGCATTTATGTGACCTTTTATATGTTCCATGTAAGCACACATATACAGTACTCAAAGACAAGCCTTTAACAGACTGTTGGGGAAAATGTTATTCGTGAGCACCTATGAAGGCCGGCACGGCAAAAGAGGTTGGGGGGGAAATACCACACACCCTGCTGTGTCTGTCTCCCCAGTGCTGATGTTTACACACAGAACACTCGGTTCTCATTTACGGCTGAGTCGACCTTGGGGAGACCCAGGATTGGTTGAAATATTCGCCACTGCCCAACTGCTGGACCCTTGTATGCTGCAAGTTGCCATGTGAGTGGTGAGGATTTTAACACTAATTCAGTAGTAGCTCAACGCTGGTACGCATGTGTTGCAATGAATGAATTACCTTTTCACAACACGTGTTCTTAAAATCAAATAATGTACTGTGTCTATAACATATTCCTTTATTCGTGTTTTTAATATTCCAACAAGAAAATTAAGCGTCCAAGAACAGTCACTTGATGTTCCAAAAGCCATTTTTGGGAAACATAAATTATAGCATAAATGCATTATGAGTATCCAGACATTCAATCACGAAGTTATATATGCTACATATAACAAAGGCCAATTTCACTGACATTTATTGAATCAAAATTAGTAAAGAGTCTTTAAATTTGAAACTGTTCAAAGTTTATATTTATTTTCAATGTTTTTTTTTTCTCCATTTTCGATTATTATGTGAGAGCGCTTAAAAATTACATTTTGCACATTCTGCAAAGGGCATCATGAGAATACGATCGACAACTTCATAGTCGTTTGGAGATTTTATTCCAGAATATTCATACGTTACCCTCGAATTATTGCATCGGTTGATCAAGTAATTGCAACAAAACTACGAATAATAAATTATTCGTTGGAAACAAAGTGTTATATTTTCGGCAGCAGCGTACATCTGTGGAGCTGTGCGTTGTGCTGGAGAGGCTGAGTGCGTTGCTGGAGGTGCGCCGTGCTTAGAGGTGTTAATCAGTGGGGCCACACACTGCTGTGGAGGCCACAGCCCAAGCGTTAATGATGGATGCCGGGAGTAAAACAGTGACCGTGAACTCTGTTCTGCTGCCCACAGCACCGGCAGGTAATTTTAGCTCCATGGGCGACCACGGGCCTGGTCTCCACGGCAACCCGGGCCCTCCCGGCCTTCTATCTCTAATAGTTCTGCTTGATTCCTGCCCCAGAGGAAGATTTCCTGGCTAAACAGTATATATCATCAGTGACTGGTAATTATACTCCTAGACACATGCAGATGTTGGGATCAGAGGCTGCGTGAGAATCAGACGGAGCACCAGATTTCGTAATGATGTTATTTGCATGTTCTACAATACTCATTTGTGAACTAATTGGCACTATTTATGGGTTGCTCACAATAAGTTTGTATTTAGTATCCAATAATGGTTTATAAATGAAACACTAGATATATTTGCATACGAGTAAAATCGCAATACAGGAATGTATTAGTCGATGTAAAAGTTAGAATCTCTGCTTGTATATAAACCAATACAATGGTTTTCTGAGCTAAGACGTTTAGCATATATATTTCGTTTTGTTAACAGATACAATTGTGAAACTACTGATGTTGAATAATATGGTTTTGGAACAGATACTTTAATTTAAAAGACTAAATGGTTAAAATAATAGCATCAACCTATCCTCCAATCACTCTGACATTGCCAATGAGTTATAAGAGAGGTGTGAGGGTCTGGCCTACCCACCCAGTAAATGCTGACTGGTAGGCACAAAGCACCCAGGGCACTGTCCTCATTGTAAAACCACTAGAAATTATATGTGCACCCAAGTATTAATTGCAATAATCTTAATCATTATTAAAAGGTAGCTTTTTAATCACTGTCTGGGCACTGCTGACAGCGTCCTCAATCACGCTTTGTGGTCCTCAGGAAAGGGCAGATATAGTTACTGAACCTTCCAAACTCTGACTTGCTCTTAATTCCTAATTCTTTTGTAACCTACAGATAACCTTCCACATGCAGGATTCTTGTTAAATGGTTTGCTGGTCAGCATTTTATACTGTATGAAAAAACGTGTGATCCATCGTGTGATCCATAAGAAAATGTGTTTTAAAATGACATCTGACAACTGTTATAGAAATGCAATTTTTACATTGACACTTGAGAATAAAACGATACAAAATGTGATGCGAGTCGGATTGAGGACAGTTGTTTGACCACAAATACAAGCTATGCATATTTAGTGTGTATCAGCACATGACACAAGGCTTACTTTATTGGAGATGATCTTGTTAGGCTGCTCATCCCGGAAATGCTTGCTACCATAAGGGATGTGGCCGTAGTCCGAGGACGTGTGGAGAAGTGGCTCGTACTTTCTGTTCTTGTGAGCACTGACGGCGGGCAAGAATCTGGGAGAATAATGAAGAATGTTATTACCAGATTCAAAAGTCATGTTATTTTATACAGCACCATTTTATTTTGGAACACAGCTACTGATGGGTTGTTTTGTTGGTGCATGGGCTACCAATTCAGCTGCAGAGCCTGCAAACGTCCTTGCCAATGGAGGTCACGAGTGCTTAGTGGTAACCACTGCCTGAAGCACATCAGATAGCTCGAGAGCTGTGTTTATCGGGCACAGCCATTCACTGGTCATTTCATATTGCTTCAAAATGATTTTCATCATAAATTTTTTTATCGCGCAGTGCTGTTTTTTTCTCACAATAATGACTAAATTTAGTTTTTCAATTTTTTATGACAAAATGTACTTATTTTTGTAAACGGGGTAACAATAACAATAATCAAAATGGCATTATGAACGTTGTTAGTGAAACACTAAAAAACGTGTACAGGATGAAATATACAGCATGCATCATCATCATCCTCGTCATCAACAACACTTATGAAACCACCCCAGCCTCATGGGGCCACTTGCACGATCCATCATTTGTGTGGGAGTCACTGCCTCCCTGCTGTCTGTTGTCACTGCGTTCAGAATGTGTGCACGCATGGGATGTTGGGACTAGGAGCCTGTAAGTTCATCCTGCGTGGCTGGTAAGTCCTTTAATACACTCGAAACCAACCAGAGAACAATGCTACACCAGTAGCTGGGATACAGCAAAGTGAAGTCAAGCGTGCTAGGAAGCAGAGAGAAAGTGTGAGGGTTGAGCATACTGGGTGTCGGTGGCATGCTTCCTCCACTCTTCCCTGCGGAGGACTTTGGGGGCCTCTTCCAGGCACACAAAGGGTGTCGCCACACGCACCGATGGCTCGAGTGGCTTCTGGCGCTGCCTCCAAACCACCGCAGGATCTTTAAACGGGCCCTGTACACAAGTGTTTTACCCCCCCCACACTTTAAATACTGAGCAGTTTGGTCACACTTATGTTTAAAAAGCATTTTTGTACTTAATAAAAAAAAAACCTGGTCATTTGTAGCTACACTTTTATAGCCTTGTATATGTGAATTTTAATAAATATTAAACTAAAATAGTGCGTTATATTACCTATTATACAGTTGTTATTTTTAAAGGCATATTTCAATTAATTTGACTCTTTGAATCAGGAGCTTAAAAAGTCTGTAACAAGAAAAGTAACACAATTGTAGCACATAACTGAGGGTATATTCTGCATGACAAATGAAAACATCTGGAATGGTAGCTGGCATGGCATAACGGCGATCGAAAATTCTTGCTGGCAGGGATTTCAGGCCACACCTGTGGTTTTGGAGCACAGATGGGCGGCAGCGTCCGTGGCGGATGCGGGGTTAGTGTCGATTTTTCCATCCCAGCGCTCTCTTCCATCATAGCCAAGGGCTTCCTGTGGCTCAGTGGCCTCGCCTGTAACAGCCGGTACTCCATCTCCATGGGGCACGGTAGGAACGGCGAGTTATAGATCCCAGCAATCTGTAGGGAAACGTGTTTTCCCAATAATTCATAATCCACGTATAATGGCAAAGGTAAAAAAATTCAGATGTAAATGCTGTTCGGCTGCAATGTGTTAACTATAAGACACAAGCACCAATGGCCAGGACACATAAAATTTATTATTAAATAATAGTTATGAGTTCCATATGCATTGTCAGCTATTTAACTAAACTGTGTTTCATATTAACTTTATTATGGGTGGCTTGAAATTAATTTGTACAATGAAATTACTAACAACCCTTTCCTTCACTTTATAATATTCAGATACCATTTAAATTCTAACATATGTGTGAAAAACCATACAAAATTTATCCAACACATTATTTTCCCAATTACAGCCAACGAAAACAAAAAGAGTACAAGTACCATGACAGCAATAAGAGGTCAGCAAATTTAAAATGAAAACAGACAAATAGAGCACTGTGGGACATATTTTATGCAAAATTAATAGACATGGAAAAAAACAAGAGGCATTTTAGTTGTGGGAATGCTGCACCACAGTGTGACAGCTTTTAGCTATCTGCCTGTCAGCCTCCTTTTATTTTTCTCGCAACTGTCATGTACAGGAAGTTCAAGCAAAGCGGCCCACTCAGGATGCCGCTGTTCCCAGTGATTTGTAAAAGCGAGTGGCGACCCCGAAATATTGAGATGTAATCTCCAGAGGGCCTCGGCCACTAATGGCTTCCGGTATGCTCCTCCGACTCCACCTCTGCAGCGGTGGCAGCAGCAGGCGACACGCTCCTGGATAAAGGTAAATGAGCTGTAAAAATTTTGATCGAAGCAGCGGAAATGAGTGATGCTTGGGGAGCACATGTGTGTGGAGTGGAGCAGAGCGGAGGCCGGGCCACCACACGCGCTGGGCCTGCCCCCCAGCAAACAGCTGTGCTCCAGTTGTTTCTTCTGATATGCGGGTACAGGCCAGCCAGCCCATCTGCCAGCGGTCACTCGCTAACCCCAGGCTCTCCACAATGCCACTGCGCCTTCTTCAAGTTCCTATGACGAACTCGCTTGGGCTGGGCTGTCCCAAGCCATCTAGCTCCACTCAATGTTCATCCCCTTTAGCAATATTTTGCTTTTGCAAACATTGCAGACACTACTCCATGTCGTTTTAACTTTAAAACACATTATTATCATTGTTACTAGTTGTTATCCGCTGGATTATTTTAAAAATGGCAAGTGTACATTAGGCATATGTTTGCGTAGTAAAAAAAAAATGCAATAATCAAAAGTTATATGAGTATAGAAATATCTACTCAAAAATGGTAATCTAATATAATTTAACACAATAAAAATCAGTCAAAATTTAATACAAAACAACAAATTCTGAATGAGTAAAAGGCACTCACTTTTGCAACTTTAATTATGAAAGTGATTTATGTGCAATAACACTGGGAAGACTTATTTGTCATAAAATACCGTAATTATGTTTTTATCTGATACAGCAGGCTAATTGAAAGTAAGGTGTGATGGTAGATAATGCAGGCTCATTACAGCCTGAAGAAACACAATCTAATAAAAATTGAATTTATCAATAATAATGTAAATGTACTCTGAACTAGAGAGATATGCCAGTTAATTAAATGCGCTGGCTGTTCATTTTGTGAAGAGTTGCTGCATTACTGTAATACACACGAGATATTTTGGCAGGCTTCCACTTCATAAAGCAAACTAAACCCAGCAACAATGTAATTACCATCTTGGATGTCCACATGAAATAACACTTAGAACAATATTTTATTTTACAAATTACTGAAGACATTTAACCCTTCAGAGCTCAGCTTCGCGAAGGCTATGAGCCTTTGACCTAAAATTTGTCTATTAGTGTTTTGCAGAATGGAATGCGGCACATAATTTTTTTTTAACAAAAAACGGGATCTCTAATTGTCAATATCTTAATGATCCTTGAGAACATTTTAAAGCATATAATGATTTACTTCCCCAGCTACTTGATTCTAGGTAATGGTTTGATTCATCATCATCATCACGATCCATGAGCAGATAGCCTATAGGTGTCCACTTCACATTTCGTCATGTTTCCACTTTCCTCTGTCTTGTGCCAATGTGCTCAAGTAGTGCAAATCTTTCTTGAACCAATCTTCAATTCAACAATGTATTATTCTATTGTCTCATTTGTCCTGTGTCACATGTAATTTTTGTATATTTGTTGCATTAGACTAAAGGCATATTAGCACATAGTTTGCAAATTTTGTGTGTGTACACAGTAAATAATATATTTTTACATGCACAATTTGATGCACACATCTTAAGCCTAATAATCTATTTCATTTGATTAATCATCAAATGCCTAGAAATTATGCAATCTCCAGCAGTTGATTGGCAATATGGGTGCACGTCACGCCAGTTCTACCTTTTAAATATGTACTGTACACAAACTGTATATATGAATAATTGTTATTATTCATGTTTTCAACGTGTAGGTTTTAATATGCTAAGGCTATAAATAACTAAAAAAGGTGAATTCCTTAGGTTTTCTAAGATGGGAGTAAAATGGTGCCAATCACATGGAATTTGCTTATTTGAAGGGTACGTGGAAGGAGGTGTCTGATGTCACCTGATGGATGTCAAGTATTGTGATTTTACTTACCTGATGAAAGGTAGGCTGGAAATAGGTGGGGTTTTTTTTCATTACTTTATGGGTTTCATTTATGTATTGCATTGGCTGCCCCTCCACGAGTGCTAAGCAGGTAATCTGCTTGCCTTGCATGATAGATGCTAAGCAGATGTTTTTTTCTTCCTTACTCAAGTGCTAAGCAGGTACTGGAGTGTATTTTCATTAAGTAAGTGCTAACCAGCTGAAGTGCTTTCTCTGCTTGAGTGACGAGCAGGTGGTGTGTGTTCTGTACCTGGTGATGCTGAGCAGGTGGTGTGTGTTCTATACCTGGTGGGTGCTGAGCAAGTAGTGCGTCTTCCGTGCTTGGTAGTCGCTCTGCTGCTCAGCCGTTTGCAGGGCAAGGAATTGCCGATCTTGTGACTGGACGGCTGCATATTCATCCAGCTCATTCCTGCATTTAAACATTTTGGACGCATTCTTTTGAGGTAAAAAACTCTGTTGCTTCTACATTGGTGTGTGTCACCTTAATACATTACATTGCTTTACAAGCATAACGTCATGCATAGTTGGGCTAACTTTACATTTTCTGCTGTTCATCTCGGGTACTACTTTGTAGATATTTTTCATTCGGCTGTTTATTCATTGCTATTTCTGACACGATGACAAGTTTCAGAAGTATAGCTGATGGCATTGTTGTTGTCTCATAAACGAAGCTATTGCAGAAGAGCCACTCGTCAATGTTTTCGATAATTTGGTTGTATGAATATGACCAATTGAAAAAGTTTTCTTATTCCCATTTATCGGTGTGGCACTGGTTAGCTTTGAAAAAGAAATCTACTGCATTTCTATACTATATATTCATGGGTCTTTGGGTAAAGTCACGTAGATAGGTTCGAAACATCGTAGTTTTTTTGTTATTTTCTTTGAACCTATGTATATACGTGATTTTACCAAAAGACCCAATAATATTAATTCCTGCAGTCACGAAAGCTTTAAGTCAAGATTTATATAATCTATGTTATATTCACCTTTATTCATGTAGAAATTGATAAAGGTGTTATTTATTCACTCAATAACATGTAAAGGTGTTGCAGTGGTTAGTACACTGCACTATGAACTTGGCGACCTTAGTTTGTTTCCAGCTATGGCTATCAGTGGTATAGGATATCTTAGATGGTCCAGGCCCCCCACCTCACCAATCCACACTGACCAGTATGGCTAAATACACTGTCAAACAATCCCCACGACCAATATGGTGTGCACTATTTAGATATATAACTATTATTATTTTTTGTACTGTAGAACACACACACACACACACAAATAGCTACTTAAATGTATTGAAACCACCATATAGGGTATTTTGTTGTCAGTGAGACACCATAAACAGCTCGAATGGGCAATACAGTCGCCATAGGCAATTTAAATGCATCACTGTCACCTAATACACCGTTGTGCAATTAAAAAACATCAATTGTAGTTTGTAACTATTTTCACTTAATGTTGATAAATACTCTATGAACATTACAATTTTATTTACATTATTTATAGAAAACAAAAAACCGTCGCAATAACATGTTACAGTGCAGTATTATCCGTTGTCATTGTTTTTAAAAAGGATATTTTTTCCCAAGATTAATTTCCATTTGAAATTTCTCAAAAATAGTCTGACGGTTTTATGAACATTATTCCTACAAATGACTTTAACTGTGAGGGCTTTCATAAATATTTTGATAAAACAACACATATATATTTCCCCACCACTGGGAGCTCCTTTGCCACAGAAGTCATTTAATAAAAAGTGTGAATGGAGTTAAAGCACTACACAATGTCAGTGGTTTGACAACCCAGCTAAATCAAAGCAGTAACTTATTTGTCCCCATCAATCACCTGCCACGAGATACAGAACATCCAATAAATTGCCATGGCCCTTGGGTGCAATCCCCAGGGATTGGACGAGAAGTGGTGACTTGCCCTCCCTTGCTTAAAACCACCGATACTTTCTTAAACTATCCTCATTTTATAATGAATACAAAATGGATGTAGACCCTGTGGAAGTAGCACCCGTGCCCTTTATTTACATGTCAAGGCCTCTGAATGGGTTGCATATTTAAGTCCTTGTCTGAACACAGACCCCCATTATAGTGTGGTCACTCTAACATTCCCTTGGTATCTTGCCCAAGACTCCTTACCACTCTTGGTATATTCACCAACTGGTATACATAGAATTTCAGATAACAAAACGCCCTCGACAGAAATTGGAATGGGCAGAGAAACTGAAGGATAATTTGTCACGTAATTCCCGCATGACTTCCTCACGGCAGAGCTTATTATCAAGTTTTTAATGTCCAGTAGGGTACGATCTACAGCCTTTTTAGTTCCACAGTGATATCTGAATGTTTCTAAAGAGAACACATCTCTACTGTTGAGACTCAAATACCTGTGGATATATAATATTGTAAATGATAATTCACTGTATATAATATGTGCTATCACATTTACAGATATATTTCCGGATTACATTTTTATCTTGCAAATGTTAACAGTAAAATCCCTATTTCCAATTGGTTGATATTTAAGTTAAGTATCATGAATTTAAAACGGAGTATATTTAAAGCAAATTAGAATGCAAGTCTATGTATATGTTAATTCTGACAAAGTATGAGGGGTTGTATGATGATGATGATGATAAAAAAAGCATCCCATTGAGCAAGCTCTATTTGGGAGAATGTGGAACTGATGAATGATGTTCTGCCACTCGGTCCAGGGGAAATGTGTTCCACAATCGCAGGCCAGAGTGGGAACACGAATCCACCCAGATAGCCATCGGAGAAGGTAGGTGAAAAATGATTGGCTCCAACCGCTGCAAAATGGGCAATTATTGCGGTGGGCACAATAAAACACAGGCAGACACAATAAATTGCGTCAGAGCTGTTTAGCAATCAGGCCAGCACATTTCGCTTATCTGCAAATCGATCGGTGAAGAGAATAGTCGCGGTATTTTCAATTTGCCATGTTGTTGGGACAAAGATAACAAATGGGAGGTTTCAGAATCTCAGAATAAATGAGCTTTTTATTAATATCATGACTCAGCCCAAAGAAAATTGAGTTTCTAATCACACACTGCATAGTTGAGATAGCAAAATATATCTGCCGCTTTTGCAGGAGGACTAACATTGTGGCAGTTTTTTTTTTGCCCGGTGCTTCATCCAAAGGGGGAATCCACTTAGTGTGGTTAGTCACCTGGGCATCCTACACTTTTGAAAACCAGCCCCCTCAAAACCCTGCCCTGCAGCAGGCCACTTTATAATCTGATACCATGTTATTACATGACAATGCAGGTGTGTTCTACAATACGATAAATAAGTGATTCACCCACCTGATGATCTCATGCTTTATAGCAAGCCCATCAAGATAGTTCCTCAGAGCATAGTAATTGTGCACATATTTCCGAACGTAGTAGCCACGCCATATTTTCTGGATCTGTCAAAACAAGTACAGCATTCATGCATTTAGTTCTTTTAGCATATATATAACAATTTCAAGTGGTGCATGCAAGTACAAAATACGTAAATGTCATTTGGATAAAATTGTTACTGTAGCCTTACCTTTACAGCCATCGCATTAAAAAAAGCCAACTTCATCTTGAGAACAGCTTCCTGCAAGAATGATTCCGGTAAAAGTAGTTCTCAAAAACTCTCATTGACCGTGATTACTCATGAAATTATTTTACAAAAAGATTGAGGTGAGCACTCTACTTTTAAATGTATCAAATAATGAGGTGATACATTGGCAAGAATGAACAAGTGCCAATGACAAAATTCAACACATTTGTCAATATTGAGATAAAAGGAGAAAAAATATGAATACGTGACATTTTAGGGAATGGCCCTACATCATAGCTCAACTTTTAAATGGTATATTACTAACAACTGACATGCTACACTTATTTCTGCGAGTCATATATATGACGCATACATTTCTAATATTAATATATACTGGAAAGGCTAAACCCACCAGGAAGTAGTACATTTTCACTACTAAATAAATGTAACCAGTATGGTTGTGTTACTGGTAAATAGTGCATATATTCGCACTGCAATATAATTAGTCGTTGTTAAACTCTGTGAATGTTGCTGGGTCATGGTTGTCTTAGGTTGAATTGGGTGGGAGGTTAGGCACGTGATTCAATTTCCAGGGTCACGTGACCATTGGACGAGTTACGAGATGTATTCCCGAAGGATTTTGAAGAGAGGGAGATCTGTATCGAGGGGCCAATTGAGATGCCAGCACGTTGATATTACCTATTTTCCCGCATATAGCCCGCGTACGCATATAACCCGCAGACGCGTATACCCCATAAAAATAGCGTTTTGTGTAAAACAAATTTCAGATAGCCCGCACCTCCATATACCCCGCATGCATTCATATCTTTAACGTCGTTACCGCAGCTTAATTTCATCATATTAATACAAAGTTTACATTTTTGTAATACATTCCACTATCAATTGTTAACATTAAAATCATAACGTGCACAAAGAACACAAACTAACCGGAAACGAGTGAACGTAAAACAGTAAATAAGTAACAAAAGTAACTATCCAATAAATAAATAACACATAACTGGTATATAAGTAAGCGTACTGTTAGGCTTACCAGCATTCGACCTCATCATATTACAGCTACTGGACCGGTAGTTACCCTGTACAGTTTTAGCACTGGTAGATTGCGCACTGCACAGACAATAGCAGCACTACGGTAACGCCATTGCCTCCTGGCAACAAAGCCATTGGAAGTTTGAAACAAAGCTCATGGTCGCGACTGTATAGTGCTCAGCCAATAGCAGCGACCTAAGGGACTCAGCAATTATGATTCCGCATCTGGTAGATGCTTGTTAAGGCCCTTCCCATTGTGCAATCCATAGCCTCAGCTGAAACTTTCGCACCCCCCTACAGCCACTGAAAGTATTACGGCAAACAAAGTGCACCCACTTCAAACATTGTCGTTTCATTGTACAAACAATTCGAATAATTTAAAACGTGATAACATGTTCAATTTTAGTGTGAGTGGTTTATTCAGTAGTGCTTTAGTCAAAGGTAAGTGTTGCATAGTGGATAGTCCTACCATGAAAAAATTAAATATTTTACACACGTACAAATTTTTTGGGATAACCCGCACCTCCATATACCCCGCAGGGTCTTGTTTTGTTTGTAAAAAGTGGTATACCCCGCGGTTTATGTGCAGGGAAATACGGTACAGGTATGTTGGCGTGCCTGTGTACTGTACGCCGGACAAATAGATGCCATTTTGGACCCTCATAAACCTCTCGGAAAGTCCTTTGGTGCACGTGGATGGTGTTGGGAGTGAGAGCGAGTCATGTCACAGTTGACAGGGAACCAAGGAAAGCAACGTAGAGTGCTACCAAAACTTTTATTTCATCATTTATTGATAACCGCCCTATGTTCTCGATAACGATCGCAGCCAGGATGGATGGAGGAAATTTTGCAGGGGTCACATAAAGCATACAAAAATATTTTACTTTAATAATTACGTATGCCTGTATGTATTGTACTTGCTATTATGGGTGACATCCAAGGGAAGCTTCTGTTTTAACAACGTTTGTCTGCATCCACACTTTTTCAGAAAAAGGATTACAAACATATTGGCAACGAAAATGGACCCTTTGCCAGTATCAAAGTATGAAAAAATTATAATAGAATTGCCCTTTCTGGCAATAAAACAGGTGTTAAGATGTTCAAACGCCAAATAGAAACCTAGATTCTATGGTTCTTTCAGTGAAGTCACATAGATAGAAAAAATAATAACAATAAAATAATAAAAATAAAGTTAATAAAAAATAAAAATATCACGACGTTTCGATCGCAACACAAGTGGTCGTCATCAGAAACAGGGAGATTAGCCTCTGAGGGAAAGCTGTTTATAAAGATCTAGAGATGGGCGGGGCAGCTAATGTTAATGTAGGAGAAAGCTCCGACACCGGCAGTCGGTCTACCCCAATCAAAGAGCTGTTTATCAAGATTTAGAGATGGGCGTGGCAGCTAATGTTAATGTAGGAGAGGTCTCCGACACCGGCAGTAGGTCTACACCAATCAAAGAGCTGTTTATAAAGTTTTAGAGATGGGCGGGGCAGCTGTTAATGTAGGAGAGGGCTTTGACACCGGCAGTAGGTCTACACCAATCAGAGAGCTGTTTATAAAGGTTTTAGAGATGGGCGGGGCAGCTAATGTTAATGTAGGAGAGGGCTCCGACACCGGCAGTAGGTCTACACCAATCAAAGAGCTGTTTATAAAGGTTTAGAGATGGGCGGGGCAGCTAATGTTAATGTAGGAGAGGGCTCCGACACCGGGAGTAGGTCTCCACCAATCAAAGCATTGCACCTCGCTCCACACACCCACACTGCTGACGGTGGAGGTGGACAAGAAAACACAAATCAAGTCATGACCCAAAGTGGTTGATGACATCTTGCCAATGATTGCTGAGTTTAAAACCGTCGTCTCGGTTGAAATTGTGTCTGTATATATGGATGGCTTCATGAACAAATCTTTGTTGATAGCCAGTCGGCTTGCAAAGTACCATCGTCTTAGATAAATCAATTTCAAGTGAGCCAGCCGCATTAAAGTAATGATCAGCCACGGCAGAAGCATTGGTCCTGCCCTGTTTCAGATCTGCCTTATGTTCATGAACAAGGTCCGAGACATGTCGTTTCTAAACCTTTATAAACAGCTTGCCCTCAGAGGCTAACCTCCCTGTTCCTGATGACGACCGCTTGTGTTGCGATCGAAACGTCGTGATATTTTTATTATTTTCTATTCACTTTATTTTTATTATTTTATTGTTATTATTTTTTCTATCTACGTGACTTTACCGAAAGAACCATAGAATATGAATTCCTGCAGTCACGAAAGTTTTAAGTCAAAACAGAAACCTTTTTAAAAGGAATGATGTCTGCATTAGCCACACAAACTTGTGCTGAACATGCAAACAAACATGCTCTGTATTCTTTGGGTCGGAGAAATCTTGACTATCTAAGCTGTGGGGGTGGCCATTGTATTGTGAGAGATTAGCATGTCAATGTAAGGACATAGGGTGGATGCCTGGATGGAATCTGTCTCAAATTTCTCGCCAATGTTTTCATGGAGAAATTTGAGACTGATGCCATCCAGGCATCCACCCGATGTCCTTCCTTGTGGAAGAGATACGTAGATAATACGTTTGTCATCTGGCCACATGGCCTACCAGCTCTGGACAATTCTTCAACCGCATCAATTCCATACACCCAGCCATCAAATTCACCATGGAGGTGGAAAAGGATGGCAAGTTACCATTCTTGGATGTTTTAATTGAAAATAGACCTGATGGCTCAATGGGACACTGTCTACAGGAAAGCCACCCATACAGATGCCTACCTCAAACCTGATTCCCACCACCATCCATCCCAGAAGAATTCCCTCATCAAAACTCTACACCATAGAACTCGTAGTATTTACGACCATCATCACCTAGCCAGTGAACTGGAGCACGTACACCAAGCCCTCAAGAAGAATGGATATTCAGACTACACAATCTGTAAAGCTATCACCCCAACCGTTGGGAAAGAACCATCTGAGGACCCAATCAAAACCATCATCTTTCAATACATAGCAGGGGTCACCAAAAATATTTCCAAAATCATGAGCAAACACAAGATTCAGGTATGATTCAACACAGTACATAAATTCGTCATTTGATCCCATCTGTGAAGGATGTGATCCCTGACATGCAATACCCTGGTGTCTACAAATTAAGCTGTGTCTGCGGCAGCAGTTTCATTGGGGAAACTAAGCGACATGTCTCGGACCGGGTTCGTGAACATAAGGCAGATCTCAAACACGGTCGGACCAATACCTCAGCCGTGGCTGATCATTATTTTAACGCTGTGGGCACACGAAATAGATTTTGCCAAGACGAAGGTACTATGCAAACCCACTGGCTATCAGCAAAGATTCAAACTGAGCAATCATTGGAAGGACATTACCAAGCAGTTTAAGTCATAACTGGCTGTGTTGTTCCCTTCCTACCTACCTATGTTAGCAGTTATTTTCGACTCTCTGAGTTACATTCACGAACACAGCCACCAAAGATGGCGGCTTGCCATCTTTCCGAGCTCTCTCCGAGCTTATATTTACAAGAAAATGTCTTACATTTACATGCTAATCTCTCACAATAGAATGTCCACCCCCACAGCTTAATTTGTCAAGATTTATCCGATCTTACATTTACATGCAAATTTAATCTCTAGCCCCGCCCATTGACCGTTGGGCTAGATTCATCTCAAACCTTTATAACTCCCTGCCTTAACAGCGCTCCCGCCATATATCTTTTCCTGCCTCAGCTCTCCCGCTATATTTTGCACCTGATAACGATTGCTTGTGTTGCGATCGAAACGTCGTGATATTATTTTCATTATTTTTCTATCTACGTGGCTTTACCGAAAGACCCAAAGAATATGAATTGCTGCAGTCACGAAAGCTTTAAGTCAAAACATGCTCTGATAATATATGCATTGTCTTTTAACCTGATTGGCCTACATCTTATTTAGGGCATAGTCTCACCAGTGTCAGACAAGAGAACGCCAAAAGGCAAGCTGCAAAATGTTTCAATTTAGTGTTTGAACATCTTAACACCTGTTTTATTTCCAGAAAAGATCTGTCCAAAAACAGCTGGACAGCATTTTTCTTTGTCTGTTGTTAAAGCTCCTTGTAGCAGTGAATGCCAATGAACACCAGTTAATATTCGTGGTAGTGGTTTTCGTTTAATCGGCTTCTTCCTGAGCATAAGATCCTCATTAGAGGCCGACCGAAATTCGGTTTCGGCGCCGAAAGTTGGCAAATGGCCTCTTTCGGCATAGTTTCGGTTTCGGCTGAAAGTAAATTTTTTACTTTCGGTTTCGGCCGAAAGTAATTTTTTTACTTTCGGTCTGGTTTCATTTTCGGCCGAAACCAGAAAAATTCAGTTTCAGTTGGCCTCTAAACTACACGCGCGCGCGCGCATGCGACTCCGGGCAGCAGCGGCGGTGGTCGATGGCAGACGCTCCTCACTCTCTCCGGCGATCGAAAGCAGCGCACACACGCACACTCAAGCAAGGATGGGGGTGAGAGGGATGTGGTGGTGGTGGGATAAGACAGACAACGGAGAAGAATAATAAAAAAAAATACTTCCCCCCCCCCCCCAAAACCACCAAACTAGCGAGCAGCAGCACACGCGTAGCCAGCACTCGCAGCATCAGCAGTCCACCAGGAGCACTTTTGTTTGAGCGGCTCAGAGGCTGGGCTCCCACAGGCAGCTCGAGGCACGCACCACACACACATGCGGGCGCATGCACGCACAGCACACTGAGCAGATTATAGCAGCGTGCTGATGCCAACAGTGTGCATACGCGCGCGCGCGCACACTCACTCATCCACCCACCAGCCACACAATACACACCAACCCACCCACCCCTCCAATGATCCAATTCACCCCATCCCACCTCCTCCACATGGGTTCCACACAGCAGGAGGGGGCTTGGGTGTGCGTGCGCGAGTCTGTGACGCGTCTAGAGGCTGACCGAAATTCGGTTTCGGCGCCGAAAGTTGGCAAATGGCCTCTTTCGGCATCGTTTCTTTTTCGGCCGAAGCCAAAAAGTTAACTTTCGGTTTACTTTCGGTTTCGGTCAAAAGTCAATTTTTTACTTTCGGTTTCGGCCGAAACCAGAAATTCAGTTTCGGTCGGCCTCTAATCCCAATTAGACGGGTCCTCACCATTGGACTCAAGGAACTCCACCACCTCAAACTCATGATGGGGATTTCCCACCACGGTGGTACGCGCTATGAAGCGCGCACAGTATGATGTTACTTCGCAAAATAGTACGTTTTCACCGCGTGCATTTATAGTAAAAAAATTGTGCGAAACATGTTTGTGCAATTTTTTTAATTGAACGCATATGCGAAAAGTTATACTTGTAAATACATTTTTGCGGAATTAATCAGCAACATATATGCGAAACAACGCATAATGCGACAACTTTCGCGGGGGATTCCTGTTAACTGTACACTCTACCTCAAAGTACATCATATGACTCTTCTCAGACTTACATACAAGCAGCTGGATAGTTCTACAGTACTAAAATGTGTTTGTTATACATTACGCAGACATGACTTTGCTTGATATTTGTAAGTGGAAATTATGCCACTTAAGCATGGCTTTTGCCACTGAATACCTGAAACCTCTAACAGGGTTAATGAAGGCCCTGTGCTCTGGGTGAACTTTGTACCTTAACGATGGCCCGAAACACCTTCCGGTCCCCGTACCCTCTCCAATGCCTCTGGATAACTGTTGCATTTTCATGTAAGTAGCTGCACAACTCAAAGCAAATTATAAGCAAAAACAACGTTGGGTTAGAACACGTTGTCTTCATTATGAATATTACACTGACCAAAGAGTGAAAATAATGCAATTCCAAGTACAGTATGGTTTCACCTACGCTGAGAAAAGAATACATGACTGCAGATGGTGGTATGAGGCTGTGTGAGAGTACAGAAAGACAGCATGGTGGTACCATTGGCGCTGTGTCAAGTTGGGAGTGGTAGTGACATGAAGATATCTGTATGAGGTGATATGAAGTTGAATGAAGGTAGGCAGTTGAAGATGGCATGACGATGGCCCAAGTAAAGAGCTAGCGCCAGACGATCGTATGGAGTTGTTAAGATGTGATGGCCTGGAGCCCTGTTGAGTTATGGATCTTCACTGTAAGTACGAGTTAATGGCATGTAGCTAATTGTAGATGATAGCACAACGCCGGTGGTGGTGGTTGGTATGTGTGTGACGGGGCGAGTGGCATGTGTGTGTCACGCTGGTGGTGGCGGCTGTATTTGCCTTTAAGGCGAATGGGCGTTGTGGTGGCCATCCACCCTCTCGTGTGTCGTGCTGGTCTTCGTAGGTGACCTCTAACGACAGGCTATATGCGCGTCACGATGTTTATTGTTGTGTGTGTGTGTTATGTGTGTGTGTGTCACAGCGCTGACTGTAACTGGCGGTATTCATGTTTCTCACGACGGTGGTAGTGTCACCTCAGTCAGTCGACCCGTGGCACCTGGGTCTCTCCCGTGACCCTCCTGCCAGCGGGCGTTCGACACTTCACGTGGCCTTAAAGTGCACCTAGCCTGGCACAAGCGCCGTGGAGACGTCACCGCCACTATAGTGGCGAACGAACGGCGGTTGTTGCTATTGTTGTTGTTGTTATTGTTGTGTATGTCACGGCTTACCGAAGGTTGGCCCGCACCCTGCACCCTCGGAGATGGGCTTGGAGCCTCACGGCCGCCCTGTGCTCCAGGTCGCGCTGCTCCTCTGCCACCCTGCAGAGATAGCCCCGCACACCGGCACGGTCACACACCCCCCACCCCCACTCCTCCACACATCCCGCGCGTCGCTCTATCGTTGCACCTCCTACTCACGGTGCCGGCAGGGTCAAGTGGTGGTGGTGGTGGGAGTACTACTACTACCGCAAGGCCACGTCACGGCGAGGCGTGCGGCCGCGAACCCGTCGACCCGTAGCGTGGACTCTTCACAACGGCGAGGGAATGTTGACGGCGAGCGGCCACGAACCGGCGCACACGTACGAGGCGTGTGGGGGGTGGTGAGGGAGCGGGAGGCCGGGAGGCCAGCGTGGGGGGGGGTGGGGGAGGGTCGCCGCGGGGCCCGCCACGTACCGGTGCCGGCGGTAGAGGGCCGCCAGGGTCGCGTCCATCGCGCCCGGCGCCGCCATGGCCGCGTCGTTGTGTGTGGACACGCGGGTCTCCATGGCGACCGCGGGCGCTGACGTCGTCATCGTCGCCGCGCGGCGGCGGCGTCGCCCGCACGTGCGGTTCGTTGCCGTGGCGACGGAGGGGGGGGGGCACAACACAGGGGGGTGGGGGGTGGTGCCGGCAGCATCAAGGTACCACAGCGGTGTCAAGATCGGCCTCTGTGGAGGAGGCTCGTGAAGGACGTTGCTGCTGCTGCTGCTGGGCAGTGGAAGGCAGTCGCCCTCCAGCAACAACGGGAGGGCAAGAGGAGCGACGCTCACAACAGCGAGCGAAGCGCCGTGCGGGTAAAATACAGCGAGTTGGCACAGCAGGGGGGCACAGTTGATGGTGCATCGGCCAAGCAGTCATCTCAGTCAGTTGACCCGTGGCACCTGCTGGGTCTGTCCCGTGACCTCCTGCCAGCGGGCGTCCGACACTTCACGTGGCATTAACGTGCACGTAGCCTGGCACAAGCGCCGGTGGGGACGTCACCGCCAATTGGTGGCGAATGGCGGGTAGCGTAATGTTGATCAGATTTTTATTTATTTATTGAGACTGAAAGAATCCAATGAGCCGTGAAGCGCTTTTACAGATGTCAAGTCGGCGGGGCGGGTCAGAATGTTCCAACAACAGTCTAAACACAGACCGGTAGGAGTGCAAAGTATAGTAAAGCTAAGCAAGTCACTAAAATAGATAAATGGATAAATAACTAAATAAGGCAGATCTCTCGCCTACTTCAGCAGTTTGTTCTTGCTGTGGTTGTCCCACCTGATGACGATTGCTTGTGTTGCGATCGAAACGTCGTTATCTATTATTTTTCTACCTACGTGACTTTACCGAAAGAACCAAAGATTCTGGATTCCTGTAGTCACGAAAGCTTTAAATCAAGATAGATAAATGAATTTAATAACATATATGAGTAGGTACAAATTGCTTGAAGTACGCCAATTCCTGCCAAGTTTTTGAACACCAAACGTAAGCTTGGGCAAGGCAACGAAACAACGACAGAGTCCCAGACCGCACCAAGACAACACACACAGTCCCTCAATACAATTGCACATTAAAATGTAACTATCGATACACGGGAAAGGATCAAAGTAACAAATCACATTGGCAAATGTAGTTGTATCCGGCACTAATCTCAATCAACAGTCGCGCAGCGGGGTGGTGTAGCCGCGTGAAGAAGAAGATGGCAATGATGCTGTTATGATAATCAGGATGATGACGATAATGAGTTACGCTGATGATTACTGACAATGACTGGAAAATTAAGATGATTGATGATGATAAATGAAGGCGACGAATGCTGATGACCAATAATTTGATAGTGATGATGCTGCTGGTGCAACTCCTCAATACGTTCTTCAAGAACACTGGCCTAAACATGAAAAACAATAGGTGACGTTTCAGGCAATGGCCCTTCTTCATAGCGCGTCATGTGCTCGCACAAAAAGCAGTGTTATTGACGAAAGTTTTCAGTTCTTTTTTTATCTTGTTGAGCATAGGGATCAACAACATCAGCCCAGCTAATGGGAACGCGCTACTTCACAAGGAATTGCTAAATAAAGAAGGATGCAAAGTGAGGGATCAAGATAAGCATGAGCAAAACAAAAGTGACGTTCTCAAAGTTAGCTGAACAATTGAAGGTATCTGTAGCTAAACAAATGCAGGGGTTTTTGCTGAACTGTTGAAGGTATGTGTAGGGGAACAATTGAAGGCATATGTAGCTGAACAATGGAAGCGAGATCACTTGAAAACACTTCAGCATGCGTATACTTCAATATAAAATCAAGAGATCAGGATGTGGCGTTGTTTGTAAAACTGACCTTGAGAATGAAAAATACACTACCCATGTGTCCAAAGAAGAACGTGTTTAATAAGTGCACATTACCTGGTTATGCCATGGATCAGAAACACGGACAATGACAAAATGGAACAAAAGCTGAAAAATGCTAAAAGAAGTATGGAGCGATGCATGCTTTGAATTGCATTGAGGGACAGAAAGAGGAGCACACGGATCAGAGAACGCAAGTTAGGAACGTCATTTTGACAACAAGTAGACTTGAGCAGGTCACATTGCTAAAAGGGATGGCTAGTGGTGGAGACGAACAACAGAGTTGTGGCCAAATGAGGGAACACATCAAAGAGGGTGTTGACCGTTGAGATGGAGTAAAGAAATCAGCTTGTGTGCCGTAACTAGATGGATTATTGCATTGCAATACTGTGATAGCAGTCTTTGGTGTTGTTGTTATCCATGGTTGCTGTCTTTACAGATGTTACCACTGTGGTCAATGCATTTGATCTTCAGAAATAAATAAAAAAAATCACCCAAAGGCAGCTCATGGGTGCCCGGTGTTGCGTGCATTATTTTTTGGAGGGAACAGATAGTGGATCACCACGGGATAGAGATTGGTGTAGGATGGTAGATCATGGGTTGGTGGATCGTCATCATTTGAAACAGCAGTATTATCGTCATTGTCTTCATTGGTCATCAAAATTCGTCATCTTAATTTATCATTACCATCAATCTATCATAATCTTAATTTTCCGTTGTCATTGTCACGATTATTTTGATCGTTTTCATCATCAATTATAATAATCCTGAATATCATTATCACAGCATTACTAGCATCTTCACATTCAACCTTGTTTTCATCATCTTCATTATCATTATATTCTTGGTTCTTTCGGTAAAATTACGTAGAAGGGAAATAGTAAAATTATAAAATAGTAAAAAAAAAGCCAACTTTTTTCAAATTTTCTTGCTGTGGGTTTCACACCTGATGATGATTGCTTGTGTTGCAGTCGAAACGTCGTGAGAATTTTATTGTTTTATCTTTTTATTATTTTATTGTTTCCCTTCTACGTGACTTTACCTAAAGAACCAAGAATATGAATCCCTGCAGTCACGAAAGCTTTAAATCAAAATGAATCATCATTATTGTTTACTAGTCACTAATTTTGAATCTCGGCTAAGGGTGGAGCAACTCCTGTACACACATTAGCCTGGGTGTTTTTGTGTTTGAGGAAAACGGGGCCTGATTGGTAGGCTTGACCCATCGACAGGGTGAGTATTCTGACATAGCCCTTGGCTGTTGATTGACTGTGGAGTTTTTTGTGGAATTGGGCTTCATTCCACATGGCAAAATCCGGCCAAACAATACTTAATGAATTAGGTGGAATTATTTATTGTGGAATTTTCAGCGATTGCCAGAATTCTGCAAAAGCATTTAAACACTGTATATGAATTGGGCCAAATGTGTCTACATATATAAGATTTTGCATTTATTTTTTTAAACAAAATACATCAGACAAGCAACGTTCTCATAAAATACCCATTCTTGTCCAATATAATGTGTATCTTAATGGCAGTAGGCAATGCTTGGAGATTCAACCATGCACTTTACACAAATGCCTCGGATCTTAAAATGTAAACTGTCATTGTAGGTAGGTACAGAATTTAGATTTGGTGAAGACAAGTCTGCATTGTGTTTTAAATCGCAGCCCAGTGACTAACTTCATAGGCTGCAGTGATACAGCATTACTCGTACGTGAAGCATTACATGTAAAAGCAGCATATGGAAGATGAAAGTGGATTACTTTGCAGCTAAAGGGAGGGGAGGTCCTTGCAATCTCTTCAATTGTGTGAATTCACGAGGTGGGTGTAGCAAGTTCGGCCGGGCAAGGCTTTACAAATTGAATCCAGATCTCAGTGCAGAGGAGGCGAGAGATCCGTCATTTCTGTGAAACGTCTCAAATGCATCAATGCAAAGAGAGCAGGAGAGTGGATAAAGGGGCACCACCGGGTATTTATTGAATGATACCAGTGTACGTATACTCTTGCACCTTGTTCACTAACGTATGGAAGCTGTGACAGTCATTTTGGATTTTGCTTGTAACATTTGGTTTGTATCCCTGCAATGGTGTGGACAGCATTTCATCGTGCAATTTTGTGGAATTAAAACGTACAAAAGAGACTCATTCTGTGATTGCAGACGTATTGAATAACGATGTAAAAAAAACGAAAATTCCATTAGATGTACGGTATTATGAAAGGAATGTGTTGCTTAAGATGTGATCAGTTGGACCGTTAAATTACCGTATGCGATTTTCGATGACGATTCTGGGCTGCTGTAATTACACAGGCATTTTATTGGTGACATCTTTAACAGACATTTCAGAATCCAAAGGGCCATCACTGCAGTCCCTGCAACCAGACTGCTGTGGCCTGCTCCTTACTGGCAATTAAATCCATAATGAAAGCTGGCTACGGATGTCG